CTCTCTCTCTCTCTCTCTCTCTCTCTCTCTCTCTCTCTCTCTCTCTCTCTCTCTCTCTCTCTCTTCCTATTCTGGATATCACGACCGGTATGGATCCAGTTTTTCTAACACCTCCCAAGGGTTGTAGTGGTTACGATACTTCGTTCCTGTGCAGGAGGGTTGCCGGTTCCAGGCCGTCCGTGTACTACGGCAGGGCATGATGCCCTAATCACACGTTGCTCAGTAATCTCTCTTCTGGAGTTCCCTCTGTGAGAATCTTAACGACCTCGGACCCACCAGTTTCGCAGACCCTATTTAGTTGGAACCTGATCTTGGACTGACCCTAGTCTTTCCCAGGAGTGTGGATTTCCTACGTCCGGGCCTAAGCCATGTGAGAATCTTAACGATACTGGTGGGGACCACCAGTAAAATTTGACCCCCAAGCCCTAATCTCAGTTGTGGACCCGTTCGTCAGGACCTGACAGTGGCGGTCCCCGTTGACCACTTGTGGAGATGTGAGAGCAGGGTAACGGAGATGTGTGGGTTTGATGAGATAGGACTTTTTTTTTTCTTTTTCTTTTTTTTTGCAGGCATTTTTTTTTTTTTTTTGTTTCCCTAAGATTTTTCCCTGATGCAGAGCCTCCTGCATCCAAGATCTGTAGCGTTGCTAGAACGTTCATTGCAATTTGCTAGAATGTGCATTGCAATTTGCTAGAATGTTCGCTGAAATGTTGCTAGAATGTTCGTTGAAATGTGCTAGAATGTTCATTGGAATTTGCAAAAGCGATATGTAAAACTTACTAAAAAGGTTGTCGGAAAAAAGAAGAAGAAAAATACAAAAGGTTGTCGGAATGTGGATCGTGGTTCTGAGCGCGCATTTGATGCTGTTGCAGGAGCAATATTATTTCGACTTCATGGAAATCCGCGAGGAGCTCAGGGACCTGACCGAGATGGATAAGAGAGCGACATGCGCTTGTTGCGGGTCCCCCCGTCCAGGGATGACATGACAGTGTCATTGCTGGCAGCTTTTTCTTCTATGTGTAATGGCCGGGTGATTGCGACCTACACAGCAGGACGTCATGATGACGAGGACGCTGTGAAGATGGCGACCTCCAGGAGTGCTGTTTGTTGCAACAAAACTGGTGAAAGTCAAAGTCAAACGACTCAGCATATCCTTTGCTGAGTTATCACATCTTTGTCGAGTCTTTTGACTTTGACTTTCACTCCCTGGCATCATTTTTTTGTGCTGCTTGGTCATCGGCAGGAGGGATGCATGCTGTTTGTGAGTCGAGAGGGTTGCTCGACTGACTTCCCCGAGCAACAACCTTCGAAGTTGAAGGTCACAGGTTCAAATCCTGAAATTGGGAAAGAGGTGTTCCCGTAGAGGCGATTAGATTGGAGAGAAAGGAATTGTCAACGCACAGCGGCAGATGACCACAACAGGGACCTGAGTGGAACGTCCTGAGCCGAAAAGGAATTGTCTCTGCTAGAGACCTGAGTGCGGGATGAAGATCTTCCATCTGATTGTCGCCTCGTGTTCGAACAGGCTGTCTACTGTCTTCAGCGAGTGGCGTTTGTGACAGATCTGCGTGGATGATCCGCATTGATCCGCATGGCTCTGTGTGCTTGCCCAGTCTGTAGGGCTGGGGAGGGTGATTGTTGTGGAGTTTTGCAGTTTGGGCCTCATCTCCTGTACATGTTGGTGATTGCTGAATGCCTGGCTTGGGGGCCCTTTCGGCCAAGTCAGTATTGATCAGCAGCTTGCTAAAATAGAAATGCTTCAGCGCAGTGGAGGTGAATTTGTTAGGTTTGGGTAGGGATGGAGGCACTTTGCTCAGGACTCAACTTCTTCTGAGACATGCCCCATGACGGAACCTCTTCATAACAGTTGTGGAGCAGCCTACCGGCACTCTTCTCGGTGTGAAGTGTACGTCAATCATCGGCTGATGCTGTACGGCCTTTGCGTTTCATTTCATATTATTAATTAGTTCTATTACTACGCACAGCATATAGATATATATGTATATCTGTATATTTATGACATGACGTATGTGTTTGTGTTCCGGCAGAAGCAATAGCCAGTAGGGTATGGCGGGACACAGAATGGATGGGTTGTTTATGGATTGGTTTTCTGGATTCTACCTTGTCAGGTAGCCTGCTTTTCTGGGGGAATTGGGTTAAAACGAGTCGCTGCGAGGGGTCGTGGAGTGGAGATGAGAACCTTGATTGAGGAAGCAGGGGGGGTCGCAATGACCGCGAACTGCGCCGACCGGTAGGGGCAGAGAAGGGAGTGTAGGCAGCGAGTGGAGGTGGAGACAAGAAGAGGTTGAAAATGGAAAGTTGCTGGTCGAGCACCTTTCAAGGAGTCCAGTCTGGGCTTAGGGGCATTTCACCATCTGTCTGCGATTGCTTGCAAACGTCGAGGACGGAGCAATAGACTGACGTGTGTGTGTACTCCATCTTGGAACGAAAGATAGCACACAGTATTTATGTCTGTTTGCTCATTCTTGTGGCTCGCGATTTGTCGATGTCTCACATGCATACCCATGTATTCTCTATGGGTGCAATAGCCGTGGACTGCAGGTACGCGATGAGCAGGCCAGCCGTGAGATACCTCGTTAGCCTCTCTTGTGGTACCATCGCAGGACTGGCGAGATCCCGTCGTTATTGAGAGAGAGAGAGAGAGAGAGAGAGAGAGAGAGAGAGAGAGAGAGAGAGAGAGAGAGAGAGAGAGAGAGAGAGAGAGATGGAGTCGATGCCTGCTGAGGAAGCATCAGAGGGGACAATCACGGAGTTTGAGGCGACAGCGGCGGAAGAAGGGAGAGGAGGTGGTGTAGGAGGGGCAGGAGGAGTGGGAGGAGGAGGAGGGTCGTGCTCCAGTGGGAAAGATGGAGATTCACTGCTAATATCTATGCAAGAACTGCGCAGTTTGCGGCCCCAGCTGCAGGCGGCAGCTGAGTACTGCAAGTCGACCTACGCTCACGGTGATCAGGAGCAAAAGGAGTTAGTGATGCAGAATCTGAAAGCCTACGTGGTGAAAGCCCTTGTGAACGCTGTCGATCAGTTAGGTACAGTCGCCTACAAACTTAATAACGAACTGCTGAAGCAGTCCATCAGGATAAACGAGTCAGAGGTCCATGTGGCAGCTCTGGCTCAGCGCTTGAACACATGCAATCAGTACCTTGAGCACGATAGTTTGAAACAGCAGCAGGAACTCAAACCGACCAGCCGGTTTCATAAATCATACGTCACAGAAGACAAGCTTGCTGATGTGGCACAGTTGGTCGTCGAGTCACGACCTGAAATGGAGCGTGAAAACTTCGACTTCATCAACCCCGCTCACGGTGCTTCCTCAGCGGAGTCAGGGCATTTTCCTCCTCCGCCTCGTCAACAGCACCATCGTCCTTCATCTACTTCTTCTGCTGCCACCGCCTCTGCTGCCGCGTCTGCTGCCGCTGCCGCAGCTGCTCCTGGTGCTGCTCTTTCTCCGCCTCTCTCTTCCTCTACCCGCGGCGGTCGGGACACATTTGGAGGGAAAGTGGTCTTGTCGGACGTGTTGCAACGACAGGTCTCGGGCTGGGAGTTGCCACCTCCGAAGCCATACAGTAGCCGTGTGAGAACCACTGATGTCCTTCACGGTGGCCAGCAAGGCCGACATGGTGCCAACACGTGTGCAGTGGGAGTGAGAGGGGAACCGTTTGCCAGATGGACAGGCTTGCAAACGCCCACGCTGTCGATAGCCAGCATGTCGCTCTCGATCCGAGACGAGAGAAGAGCAGGAGTTGGAGGTCTGGGAGGGAGACTTCCATCGGCCGTGGATTCGGGCCTACTGCCCGCCTCTCTGAACAATTCGGTGGAGTGCTGGAAAGCAGGAGGCTCGGCTGATGGTTCAGGAAGGGGAGGTGTGGGTCGCGTCGATCTGAGTGGCGTCGCTGGTGGCAGCGTCGGCGGCTTTAGTGGCATGGTTGGAGGGGGAGGAGGAGGAATGCGGAGGGGGGATCGGTGGGAGCCGTCGGACGGGTGGGGTGAGGGCAGTAGTAGCAGTATTGCGCCATCGACGGGAGATCATCTGTCTGGGAAGCCGTCGTCGTCCTCGTCAAGGACCAAATGGTCCTTGAAGAGCATCCTCGGGAAAAAAAAGAGCGGGAAAGGATCGTAATGCCAATGCGAAGTACTAGCGAGTGAAACTGCCAATAGTGGTCTCGTCAGATTCTGAAGAGAAAAAAAAAGCTCTCGACGATAAGAGTGATGGTGACGGTGACGCGCATGAAAAACAAATGATATGGACAATAATGGTGAGGTTGACGATGATGATGCTCAAAAGAGAAACTTGGAGTGACGGCCGTAACCAGGTGATTGAAAGCTCTGCATCCGTGTGGCGATGTTTATGATTTGGGCAAATTGATAGCATAGTTTATAGCTCGTACATAGCAGGACATTTTGACTTCGTTCTTCTTTCCCACCTTAAACCACCAGTACATGGTCCCAGGCAACGGGAGAACCTGTTTTGAGCCTCTCCTAAAATTTAAAAGGCCAAGCGTCGTGTAGATAAAATGAGTCGGCGGCGGGCGGCCTCCGATAGGGGCCTGCGGCCGATAGCTGGCATGTACTGGTGCTTTAAACTGCTGTCTTTTGTGCCTTTGACTTTCTTTCGATAGAGAATGAATAGGCGGGACTGGTTTGATCAACTGTCATCTGAGGAGCTTTTTGCTTTTTTTTCAACTTTGATTGTATGTGTGCGTGCATGCGTGGCTTGAGGGTGTTTGGTGTGCGCAGAAGATTTGACTTTGCTCGTGAGATTTGACTTTGTGCACGGAAGATTTGACTCTGTGAGCAAGATTTGACTTTGTGTGCGATATGTGGCTTTGTGTGGGAGATTTGACTTTGTGCGAGGAAGATTTGACTTTGTTTGTATACGTATCTGCATGTGTGTCTTGTCGCTCTCGCCTGGCTTTCTCTATTCAGTTGAGAAGACATTGGGCACCTGGTTTTCGCCTTGCCTCGTAGAAAACTTTGCTTGCACCTTGTTGATTGGATGTCGCAATGGTGATGACCGTTTCGCGAAAATGGCATCAATATCATGTAAGCGCGACAGGGAGAAAGACCCAAAAGCATCAAAGGCAAAGGCGACTATGTAAATGAGCAACAGAAACGAAGCGAAGCGAACCGAAGGGGGAATGATGAAATGGAAAGTGAAACGGGACGAAGAGAAACCAAAAACAAAGCAACTTTGAAGCCTCTTTCAGGAATTTAGGAGACCGTTTCAGCTGTAAGGCGGATCTGACTGTATGCATGCATGCACATGTTTTTGATATCCATATTATTTTTGTGTGCACATCTGTGTGCATGTACCTATGTGTGTGTGTGTGTGTGTGTGTGTGTGTGTGTGTGTGTGTGTGTGTATGTGTGTGCACGTGTGTGTGTGTGTGTGTGTGTGTGTGTGTGTGTGTGTGATATTTGTTACTAACCCCCCACGTCAGTCAACGTGGCGAGCTGCGCAGAAAAGGCACGTCAAGAAACATACCAGGAAAATAAATCGTCCACTTCATATGGCGTGAAAAGAAAAGCTGAATGCCCTACTGTTGAAGCCAAACAGACTAGAACATGGGGAGGGGCAGGGAGCAGCAAACAGGAGGTAATGCACACTGAGGAGACGTACAAGGCACATAGATGACAAGCAACAACAAAACACAAAAACACGATAAGACGAAGCAAAGACAGCGAGGTAAGAAACTAGTACCCATGGAAGACAGAGACATAGGCTCGAGGGCAAGGCCAAGGCGAGTGGTCATACTGGCAAGGCAGGGAGGCACTGTGGTGAACAAGCATCGGACGAAGGAGGGCATGGGGAGAACAGCACACTGGCAAGGCAGGGACACACTTAACAGGGCAAACAGCACACTGGCAAGGCAGGGAGGCACTGTGATGAACAACAAGCGGACGAAGGCTGGAGGGCACGGGGGAGGTGGGGGGAGCAAACGAGCAGCACGTAACAGGGCGAACAGCACAAGGCAAGGGAAGGCATGGTGGAGGCAGGCGGGGAGACAAACAGCCCAAAGCAGCAGGGAAACAACAGCGAGCCAAACAGCAGCAAGGCAAAAGTAGCAACCAAAAAACTAAGTATGACAAAAGACACAGACCGAAAAAAATAAAGATGAAAGATTGTTTTGTTGGAGTTGCACCGACTCATCAGGAGGCTGAACCCTCGACAATCTGCGGAATGCCCGTATTGATGGTTTGGGTCATGCACCCTTTGACCCTTGTTGAAGGCAGACTGTCCCCAAGTGGAACATAGCAGTGGGCAGCAACCCTGCGGAGCACCAGGCAACGCAGTAGAGGCAACACGGCTGCACAACGCCAAAAACGACTGCAAGGAACGACACAGCACGTCGAACTCACAGCGGGGCACCCAAGCAGTGAAGCACCAGGCAACACCACCAAGACAACCACACTGCAAGGGAGGAGAGGGCAAGCGGACAAGCAGCAGAGCAACCATGCTGAGGAGCACAAGACAACCCCAACACGGCAACCAAACGACAGGGCGTGCAAGCAAAGGACCCGGAAGGCACGATCAGCGGACGGGCGGCAAGGCAGTGAAGCAGCGAAGCGCAAGGCAACACCACAACCCGGCCAAATCACATAGCGAAGACAGCAGCATGCCAAGAACGACCTGCGAGGCAAGCGGAATGGGCAGCAAGGCAGTGGTGGAGAGCAGACGGGGTCGTCCACACATCCAACACAGAGCAAAGCAGCACATCACCTACTCACATCACGGGTGAACCCCACAGACTGTTGGTTCCCACCACCCACTGAGCCAGGGAGACACTCCGACGAGCATCCGTCATCACCTACAGGCAACACAGACATCCCGAACCGAGCGGCCCCCCTAAGAGTGCAGTTGGCACTCCAAACAAGGAACCACCGACTGTTTGGCACAACTTAAGGGTGCTCAGTTGGGCACACAGGAAAAAAAATGAGGAAGGACAAACAACAGGAAAAAGACTGACAGACATAAAACTGATTTTGTGTGTGTGTGTGTGTGTGTGTGTGTGTGTGTGTGTGTGTGTGTGTGTGTGTGTGTGCGTGTGTGTGTTGAACTTCTCCACCACCTTCCATTCGATGGAGATCGAGCACCTGAAGGTCGTGATATGTCTGTAGTTAACTCATGTTCCATCAACAGAAATTCATCGAAAAGCAATTCGTGTAATTACGGAGACCACGACCTCCATCACTGCTCCTCAAGTAAGGCACAGCCCCCGGGTACAGATGCAAGATGGGCATTCCCTTCGTCCTATGTGGATTGCGAGTGCGCCCTCCGCGTCATCTGCCGAAATAGGAACGATACACGGTGGATCCCAATGGTTCCTTCCCTTCCCTTCCCTTCCCTTCCCTTCCCTTCCCTTCCCTTCCCTGTTTTCTTGTTTTGGTGTTATCCTTACGCAGGGGCCATGCTAATCTTCTCTGTACTCGCTCCAATTTCAACGAATGTCCGAACCGAAATGACTTTTTTCCTTCAAGCAAATGACAATGAAATGACAATGGCGCCCATTTCTAGCACTCCGAAATGTTTGGTCGCCGGGTAACGGCTCTACCACTCCGAGCGTTTCGTCACCAGGTAAACAGGGAGCAGTGCCTGATGAGGTATGCAAAGCTTCTCAAAACAAAATACAGACGTTGATTCAAGCGCGGAAAGCAGAGCTATCGTACTTTTGTAGCGATTTCGTAATTGATTGATGATGCATCGGTTTCGTGACGACTCTTTGGTATATAATGCTGTTAAGTACACTGGCATAGACCAATGATGTGAGAATTAGTGACTTCAACTTTTTACCTCCTGATTGTGAGAATTAGTGACCAATAGACTTTCCTACCTTTAAAAAAAAAAAAAAAAAAAAAAAAAATCCTACCAAGACCTACACACTGGCATAGACCAA